AATCAAGATCCAGTGTCGGTGCTCCAAAACAGTGTGGTAGGAATATGCACTCACCAGATGCGTAATGTAAATACACATTGAATAAATCAGTAGAGGTCCCCTTTAGGAGTCGGATAAGATCCTGGCCAAGGATAATCCTCCCTCTGGATAAAGGTGGTGCTGTAGGAGCTCATAGGTGGTAATGGATCCAGTCAGCCAGAGGTCCCCTTAAAGGGATGGGTAGGTGTAGAAGCCTGTATGTCAGGAACTCCCTTCTCTGGATACTGCAGTGGGCTGGATCAGGTGGGCTCTACAAATGAATTGCTCCGCATGGGAAGCCATAAAACGTGCCCATAGTGTAGTAGGTAAAATCAAATGTGAATTTAATAAATGATCGATTTTGCAAAATCAGTAAAAACAAGTGTCATCAGAATAAACAAATGTGAACAGCTAATGCAGCATGGACTAACCGTCCAGAAAGCAAGATGTCCGCTGGGCCTCCACGTTGCTCCGTCGGCGTGCTGTCATGGCGTATTGGCTCCTTCTAACGCGTTTTGTGAGCACGCACTTCTTCAGAGGTGGATATTAATTACATGAGAACAAATAAATAGAAAGACACTAGGCACCGGATTCTGTAAAAACATCTGTTCCATCATTTTATTATTGCATTCTATTTTAAACTTGAGAAGGGAAGGGTAGGAGTATTCATGCTCAAATTTTAGTCTATATACAAAATGGATATTGGAAAACCATTATAAAAAAATGGATGCTCTTGTGCTTAAATGAACAATATAGTGAACATATACCTTTCAGTAGGCTTGGGCCCCTCAGAAGCCTTAGGCCCTGGATGCTTCCCTCCACCGGGTTTCTGCAAATGCTTATATTGTTTCAATGCTTCTTTTACTGTAATTCTGTTCAGAACTTAATTGGTGATATTTAGCAATCTTAACGATCATTTTTCTGGTATGGCTGTTTATTAGTTTATTATTACTTATTCTGGCAATAGGTCCAATTTCATTCTGCATGGGCAAAAAAATCAGCAAAACAGATCCAAATGAAATTTTAGTAGCAGTTTAACAATTATACTAAAAGCAGAACCCCATAGATGAGCCAATGGGGTTGATTTACTAAAGGTAACTATACTGTGCACTACAAGTGCAATTGCTTTAGATCCAAGAAGAAGCTCTGAAATGAGACAGAACAGAAGAGAAAAAAGGCGCTTCTAAGTGCAGTACATCCACATGTTTTTTGGTAAAAATGGTTAAAACCCATACAAAGGATGATAAGGCTCAGCAATATAGAACTTCAATGCAGGGCTACTGTCACTGTTTCCTGGAGCTCACTGTGCCATCACACAGACTGCAGCCATCCCCACACAGTACACCAAACACCATCTGTCCCTGTCCAAATGTCACATCAACATCTGTACCAGTGTCACATCAACATCTGTCACAGTGTACTAGTGTCCAATCAACATCTGTGTCCAATCAACATCTGTCACAGTGTACCGGTGCACAAAAACATCTGCAATAGTGTTTCATTGCAACATCATCTGTCAGTGTACCAGTGTCCCACCAATAAATAAATAAAACAATTTTAAGCTCCCCCGTCCCCCTGTGCTCATGTGCAAAGGCGAACGCATGTGTTGGTCCTGTACACATATGTAAATGGCGATCACACCACACATGTGAGGTATTGCTGTGAACGTCAGAGAGAGAGCAATAATTCTAGCACTGCATCTCCTCTGTGACTCTCAATTGGCAACCTGTAAAGGCTTAGACAGCGTTGCCTATGGCGATTTTTAAATAGCAAAGTTTGATGCCATTTCGCAAACGTGCATAATTTTAAACTATGACATGTTTGGTATCTATTTACACAACCCACCACCATATTTTATATTTTACAAAAAATTTGGGAATAATAATATGTTTTTGTGCATTAAAATATATTAAAGTGTATGTTTGCGTCAGTGTGTAAAATTGCATTAGAAAAAACGCTGTGTAAATACAGTGTGACATCAAAATTTGTAAAACCCACCATTTTATTCTCTATGGCCTCTGCTAAAAAATATATATTATGTTTGAGTGTTCTAAGTTCTAGCAAAATACTGTGAACAAAACGTGTCAGAAGGCAGCCTGGTCTTAAAGTGGATAACGTCTGAAGGTTCTCCTTGGATGTTGGGCCTCTCTTTGTGCCTAGGCTGTGCAAAAGTCTCACACACATGGTATAACCATACTCAGGAGAAGAAACAGAATGTGTTTTGGGGTGTAATTGCAAGTATGCCATGTGTAAGAAATAACTTGTTAATATGACATTTTTATGGGAAAAAAAAAAAAAAAAAAAAAAAAAAAAAAAAAACATTTTATTTATTTTCTTCATTTTTCAAAGAATTGTGGGAAAAAAGTACAACTTCAAAAAACTCACCATGCCTCCTAATATATACCCCACACTGTCTACTTTCCATAAAGGAGTAATTTGGGAGGTATTTGTACTGTCCTGGAATGTTAGGATCTCAAGAACTGAGATTGGTACCAAAGCTTGTAGACTCTATAACATTCACACAGACCAAATAATATACACTGATTTGGGTTATTTTTTACCAAATAAATGTAGCAGTATACATTTTGATTAAAATTTATGAAGAAAAATTACCAATTTGCAAAAAACTAAGAACTTTTTTTCAAAATTTGAGATTTTTTTTGTTTATAGCGCAAAAAATAAAAAACCCAGTGGTGATTAAAATACCACCAGAAGAAAGCTTTGTCTGTCTCAAAAAAATGATAACAATCTCATATGGGTACAGTGTTGCATGACTGAGTAAGTATCATTCAAATTGCGACTGCGCTGAAAGCTGAAAATTGACCTGGGCAGGAAGGGGGTGAAAATGCCCAGTATTGAGGTGTTAAATTGTGCCTGGAATACAGAATTGAAATCAAATTATACACTTGTGGCTATAACTCTATTCAAGCTGACCATGAAAAATATACATTAGACATGTAATTTTACAGAAATCCAACAAGTTTTGCATTAAAGAGTACATTGCGTGATCTCAGTAAAAATCACCATCCATTCAGTTTATGCCATTTCAGCTGAATATTGCTTTGCTTACTATTTTCAGGTCTAGCTATGACTTTCATTCACCTAGGAGAAATAGAGTTTGAAAATAATTTGAGTATATTCAGATGGTAGTAAACATCTTTATTGAATTTGTCCCCCCAGCATGCCATGTCTAGAATTAGTAGTACATTTCAAAGATTCATTTTTTTTAAAGAATAAATTTGCATTGAACATTTTTCATGAAATACACTTTGAAAGCACACCCCAAATAAATGATGACAAACACAACCAGGTACAATATTGTCTCAAAAAAGAAACATCAATGCCAGTAGGCCTTTACATCTGATGTTACAGCCTATCAAAATTATTAGTACTTGTATTTAACTCATATAGTACTTTGGTTGCCAAATTAGTATATGTGCAAGCCAGTGCATCTAGGACCAATGAACAACCCAGAGCAAAAAGATAAAGAAGGTTTGCTCAGAGAGAAACTTGAAAAAGTAGATAGAGAGTCACAGTAGCAAGAAGAAAGAGGGAACAAAAAAAATAAGGGGGGGGGGGATCAATCATTTTATTCTGTGTTGTCACATTTTTTCTCTTCAGTAGGAAGAAGGAAAGAAGCAAAAAAAAATAGTAATGTTGTGTGGCTGGGGTGGTGGTGGGGGGTGGGGGGGGGGGGGTGAGTGTGAAAATCCATTATTTTAATCTGTGCTGTCACATTGTTTGCTTATTACTAAAAAAACGAACATGTGTCCAACCAGCCTCTTAAGTAAACACTGATGTGTTTTGTACAGTGTTGTGTATGTTGGCCCTGAATCTAAATCAAAATTCTGATAACCATTTCTTTGGAAGTCAGTTTGTATATAAATAGCACAGTACAATGCTCAGGCAAGTCATTTTCAGACATACAGAAGCAGGTAAAGATGGTGAGTTGGTGCTCATTATTTCTTGTGTTAATATCCAATGTAATATCCAATCTCCATAAGAATGCAAGTGGGCATTTGAAGATGGTTAATTTTGTTGTTTCTGGAACCCTTGAAAATTTGTCTTTTTCCCAGACCTACAAACCACTGTATACTGCATTCTATACAAGCTTGCCATAGGTTGTCCATCCTGAGAGGGAAACAAGGAATGGGTAATTGAAAAATGTTTTCCAAATAGCTTCTCAATAGCTATCACCTTTCAGCCCCATAGTAGTCATTCAGTGTTCCAAAAATTACCCCCTGTGCCTACAAATAATAATAGATACAGCATAGTGGAATTTTGTTTTAGCTTTTGTTGTGAGATATTTAGTTAAAGTGAAACTTTAGTCAGAAACTTAAGTATTGCTTCAGGCCGGTCCCATTTGCAGGTAAAAATAAGTGCCTATACTGTTTAAAATTCAATAATACACTGTCTTACCCTGCGCTGTAAATGCTCAGTTGTTCTTCACTTTTAGGCATTTTTAGACTTGAGATTGTAGAGTCTGATCTGCTGACAATTTAAATCTTAAAGCAGAATTAACAGTAATGCTTACTGTCACATTTGCTAATTTTCTCAACCAAACTGTCAAACCATCAAATGACTCGTGTCATAACTGATTATATATGCATCACCATGGCAGTTGCAGATCAAACAGATGGCAGCTTCTTTGGCTGATAAGAATAGAATGGTTTAGTTTTGCTTTAACTGCTGCTCAGGGGCTATGGGCTTCAACAAAATGGCGGTCTACATGAAGAAGAAGCAAGAACAATGCTAGAGGCAATTTCCAGCACACACTTATTTTGGTAGCATAATTATTAATGTGGAATTTATGTTCTTTGCTAAAGAACATTATTTTTTTACCAAATATTATGAGTAAAGTTCTTCTTTAAGTTCATAGCATTCATTTAGGGCAATCTTAATATATGCTACATTTCCTTTTTATGGTATTGTCTGTAGAGTATACTAAAGCTAACCATACATTGTATTTAATTCCATTTCAGAGGTATCTTGTGTTTGCTGTACTTTGTGTGGGATTCATTCTTGCTGTGTGTGATGCAGCTTGTTTTAATCAACCTCCTCCAAATTTACAATCTGGTCAGAAACCCTTAAAGGGTAAGTCATATAACAATCATTTTGTTTAAAACAAAGGTTATTATAAAATGTAAAAGATTCTCTGCTCTCATATTGGTGGTGCTTTGTCTCGTGTTGCTATTGGAACATGTGCTGCTCCAGCATGTTAAGCTAGGGTGTTATGGGTTAACAATTAAAAATAATTGGGCTGAAACCTTATGACTTTCCAACGTTAAATTTGCTTGACGATATTGTGAACACAGCAAAAGCCAATTAGCCAAAGATCAATGTCTTTCATCAAGTCTACTGATATACTGGTAATTCCAAATAAAGGTATAACAATATATAACTCTTATAGCATATAATACAAAGTTATAAAAATGGATACAGAAGATAAGTCACCCAGTTAGATTTAAGAGAGTGAATGTGCCCCTTACCTTAGGATATGGAAGGGTTTTTAAAATTGTTTCTCTAGGATCATAATGGTTGTGATATCTGCAGGCGATCTTTAAAAATTGATAAATGAGTGCTTCAGAGAGATACCTTAATTAAATAATTGTATGACATTTACAGTACAGTATGTAGTTTATGTACTTTTTTTACGTATGTAGTTAAAACTTTTTGCTAAGTCTAAACAGCTGTTTACAGACTGGAATGTCAAGAGTCAACAAATCTACTCTGATTCTAAACAGTATACAGTCTGAGCTCTGAAATTCAATAATTGGTCATATTCTTGGGGTATACTGACCAACTGGGAGCATGCTCCACATTCCTTCACCTGACCCCTGAAGCAGGAGAGTACTTTTATTTTTTGCATCCATTATATTATAAATAACTGTTTTACTTGTATGTATGATTTTGTAGCCTACTGTAAGTTTGTAAATATTGACCAGATACTTTGGATATCAAATTAAAGCAGTGGTTCTCAACCATTGGGCCGTAATCCACTGTCAGGCCACAACTTTCCTCCTCCAGCCAGCTGAAGATACTCTAACCTCCCACAGTGCCTCCAAGCTCCCATAATGCCCTTCAAATGCCCATAGTGGACTGCAGTACCCCTCAGCCCCAACAGTAACTACCCCTACCTCCCACAAGCCCCCCAACCTCCCACACTGCTCTTCAACCTCACAGCCTTCCATAGTTCATCCCAGTCTCCAGCAGTGTTCAACACTGGCCCCCCACCTCCCACAGTGCCCTCCTGGAGAAAAATTCCAGTCCCCCCCTCCAGAGCCCCCATCCCCCACATACTCCCCCAGCTGGCTACATAAAAATAATTCCTTACAAAGCTATCTAATCTGCTACAGAGTCTCCACAGTGACACCCAGCCCCATCCAGAGCTTTCCAGCATTTCAAGGCATATTTTGCATTCCCATACTTTTTTTCACTATTGAGATACAGAAAGTTTTGGAAGAAATTATTGGACCCTGGTCTCAATAAGGTTGAGAATCACTGCTCTAAATAATGCAAAAATTGGAATTGCTGTCATCTGTAGCTTTAAAAAAATGCTTGCTGCAATACAGAAAACTGTCTGCTAGCAGAATTCCCTCCTTGTTGAATAGACGGCTTATTAATGAAGGCAACAGACGTACACTATATTGCCAAAAGTATTGGGATACTCCTCCAATTCCAATCACCTCCATGGGCCCAGGTGTATAAAATCAAGCACCTAGGCATGCAAACTGCTTCTACAAACATTAGTGAAAGAATTGGTCGCTCTCAGGATCTCCGTGAATTCTAGCGTGGTACTGTGATAGATTACCACCTGTGCAATAAGTCCATCCATGAAATTTCCTTGCTACTAAATATTTCATGGTCAACTGTTAGTGGTATTATAACAAATGGAAGTAACTGGGAAAAACAGCTGCTCAGCCAAAAAGTGGTAGGCAATGTAAAATGACAGAGCGGGGTCAGCACTTGTTGAAGTGCACAATGTGCAGAAGTCGCCAGCTGTCTGCAGTTATTAGCTAAGGACCTTCAAAATTCATGTGACCTTCAGATTAGCACAACAAAAGTGCTTAGAGAGCTTTATAGAATGGGTTTCCATGGTCCAGCAGCTGCGTCCAAGCCTTACATTACCAAGTGCATTGCAAAGCTTCGGATGCAGTGATGTAAAGTATGCCGCCACTGAACTCTAGAGCAGTGAAGATGTGTTCTCTGAAGTGACAAATCACACTCAACACTCATTGTCACTCACACAATCCGATGGACGTGTCTGGGTTTGGCGGTTGCCAGGAGAACGGTACTTGCCTGACTGCATTGTGCCAAGTGTAGTTTGCTAGAAGGGGGATTATGGTGTGGGGTTGTTTTTCAGGGGTTGGGGTCGGCCCCTTAGTTCCAGTGAAGGGAACTCTTCAGGCGTCAGCATACCAAGACATGTTCCAACATGACTGTGCACCAGTGCACAAAGCAAGGTCCATAAAGACATGGATGAGTGAGTTTGGGATGGAGGAACTTGACTGGCCTGCACCTCAACCCGATAGAACACCTTTGGGATGAATTAGAGTGGACACTGCGAGCCAGGCCTTCTCATCCAACATCAGTGCCTGACCTCATAAATGCACTTCTGGAAGAATGGTCAAACATTCCCATAGACACACTCCTAAACCTTGTGGACAGCCTCCCCAGAAGAGTTGAAGCTGTTATAGCTGCAAAGGATGGGCCAACTCAATACAGAACCCTACGGACTAAGACTGGGATGCCATTAAAGTTGATGTGCGTGTAAAGGCAGGAGTCCCAATACTTTTGGCAATATATTGTATATTGTTGTAACACCGATTGAGCCATTTTGTGTATAATAGCTTACCTATAATACATTAAGTTAAAGTGTAACTAAACACAGAAAACAAAAATGTATTGAGCTTGCAGCTTAAGGTCTAGGCCACACAGCTGGTAGGCTTTCTTACCTCTCCAAAAAGTAATCAGTGGTTGACAGGTATTCAGGAGGTGATAATGTTGCCTCCTGAGTGCCTGTTCTTTGTTTAGATCCCAAGGGGTACTTTACATTGAAATTCCACACTGTAAATGCATGCCAAGCATTTGGATAGTTCCATTGACTTCAATGAACTAGCTTGTCAAATAGTGCCCCCACACCACAAAGCACAAAATCGCTGCCACAGCCATGTCTACTTACCCCTGCAACCACCATGTAAATTTGGAGGTAGGCAGTTGAGTTTGTAAACCGCTGATCATCTGCCTATTTTTACCACTCCTGTGTGAACTAAGCTTAAATGTGGTGACTATAATAGCCTTTTTTAGGCTTCTTTCACCTGGTGATCTGACTTGTAACACAGTTCCTGTTTTAGGGAGCAATGGAGATACCCTTGGGCAACAGCACTGACATTCTGCAGATTGGATAGTGTTAGATGTACTGGCAGATTTAGCTAGACTTGACTAACAAATAAAACTGAACTCCAGCTAACACTTTTTGAGCTAACAGGTTTGTTACCTTTTGGGATAAAGATTTGAAATAAAAGCTGACCATTGTAAGAAACACTGTAAGTGTTAAATGGTGTCAACATTCTAACTGCCACTTTTGCTGGACAGCTTGGTCTGCTGAAAAATATCAGATTGCTGGCCATATCAACATAATGGACAAAAGCATAAAAAAAGAAAATGAATGCAGCTGCCACATTTAAGCACTGGTGAACTTCAATAGATTACATTTTTGATTTTGGGTGTGGAAATGCTTTCATCCCTATTTATTTTGCAGCAAACACTGCCTAGAACTAGATAGAAGTAGTTCTATAATCAGATACAGAACACTGAATTTATGACCTCATCTTTCCTGGAGAGGCTTCCATTTGACCCTCATTTAAAAAATATGAGTAGCTCATTGGAAGTGGGACGTTTATAATACTTTCAAAACAGAAACAAGAAGACTTGACAGATACCTTGTAATTAGTTAGATTTTCATTTGTTTCTTTGTTTTGTTTTCTTTGAAGCAATCCTGGAATTTCATTTTAAATTATATACTTTTGTAATATGTTTTCAGGATGTCTTTTTGAAGGCAGTCTGCATAAGTTTGGCAGTAAATGGTTAACAAAGGAATGTTTGGATTGTTCCTGTGCTTCTGATGGCTCAGTTTTTTGCTGTACTAGGTAAGCATTATTTTAGTTTCATTTGTTCAATCCCAATTTAATTTAAAAAACAGAGTACTTTGATATTATACAAAATGTGCATTCTAAAATGAGAACCAACTGTAAGGCTTCAGTATGTTTTGTTCACTGCTGGGACAATGCAAATTGAGATTTGATGAGCCACCACTAGGTTGTTGCTGAGTCTGCATGAACTCACTTCATGGCATCACTAGTAAGGTTGTTCTAAAGACTGCAGTAACATGTCTTATTTATCACAAGAGGAGATGGAGAAGTCATAACTCCTGCAATGTCCTTTGGTGGAAATTGGAAAATACAATATGTAATTTTGCCATATGAATAATATGCAGCCCCTTTTCCAGATAATGAGTAGCACATTACAAAACACAGTCCCCATACTTTTTCTTCTCTTTGCTTTTCTATACTGTGAAAAGGCCTATTGTTTCTGGCGGTTAGACTAAAATATGGCACATTCCTGTGATGGGTAAATGAATGATATTTTTGCAAGAACTGACTGTTATGGCCAATGCACTTTGAAATGCTCAATGCCACATTCAGTTCAGTATAAAAGAGTGCATCTGTGGTCAGAGTCATACAGAGTATTTTTAACCCTGTGATCAGAGTAATATAAAGAAGACAATCACTAGGGAAAGTAAGCCAGAGAGTGAGGTTGGTAGGTATTGAGGGGTGTGGAGGTAGAGGGTGGGATAAGAAGGGGAAGAAAGAAGAGGAGAAGAAAGAGAAAATAAAATAGTTGGGAGGCCTAATGGCGATAGGGAGACTGGGGTGACCCAGGTTGGACCCCATATTCTAGTCTAGTTTGACAACTAGGTCCACTCTGTGTATCAGGAAGGGTGACATGAGACTTGATAAAGCGCATGCACGCAAAACATATTGTCCCGGCAACCGGCCTCTTCCTTCTAAAGCTGCGGCTTCAGCGAGAGTTCCCCCCCCGTCTCTCCACATCGTAGTGACGTCACCCGGGACGCTGGCACGCCGGATACACGTGGTCCCTGCACTGACAGGCATTCTACCCTCCACTGTTTCCCTCTGATCGGACGGGCCATCCATCTTTGAACCTGGCTTCTTAAAGCCACAGGCTGGTTATCTATTTTTTACCATATGAATTATTAAAGGCACACCTCCATATAAGGTGTATTACTTTATCACAAAACTACACAGCGCCTGGCTCCTGTTCATACTAGTCTTTATCAAGCCCTAACATAGGTCTTCTGTTACATCTAATGGCGATAACTGCTCAAGCCCAAGCCCTGAAAAAGGAGGAGGCCTTTCCTCCAAAATGTGTTAGCTGTATTTTATGCTCTTAACAGTAATTGTTTCAAAAAATTTTTATGTGATATGAGCTTTTGTAAAAAGCACTCCTCAGTTCTTACTCCCTAGATGTGGTTTTCATAAAGTCAAATAAAACCTGGTTCTATTCTGCCATGCAAATCACACTGGTTTCACTAAGCCCATTTGGTTTACATGGACAAGCATTTGGCAACCTTTCATCCTAGATACAGTGACTATCATTTCCATGTTACCTTGAATGAATGCACACACACTGTATGTTTGGATTGCAGACATATTACCCTCAGGTAGTATGTTCACTATGCAACAATCCCTGCCTGCCTTGAATAAACCTCTGCTGAGATGGGGGCAATTTTGCATGTTTGGTGCTAGAGGACTTTTTCCCGAAACAGAATGATGGTCAACTACATCTCACTCCAGCACTTATACATGACCCAGAGATAATAACATCACTTTATATATGTATTGCACCTTTATACTTATCTCATGAATCTTTTCTTATTATGATAATAGGCTCGGCTTATCCATAGGCTTTGATGAAAGCCGATGTAAATATATTGAAGATAAGAAAGCATGCACCTGGAAACTGGTTTCCAAGGAGGATCCTACAAAGGATTGTTAAGCCCGTGATCTACTTTAATACTTCCACCATCACCAGAGCAAGAGGCTGCACAAGTGATAATGTACAAAAATACATATGTGGAATACGAATAAATGATGATAATATCTAGGTGATTGTCTTGCTCGTCTTTTTCTGATCAAGGTAAAGTCAATGGGTGCTGCTAATACTCCAGTATGAAAACAATGATCCTGTAACTGTAAAAAATACTAGATGGAAGGGTGGAACAGTAAGCAGTAAGCTATGCTGTAAATGTAAGGAATACAACATTTTCTCTAATTAGGGCTCCACAAGTGCCAGATCTCTTCATTACTTGAATCATTTAATCTGTGTGTCATTTTTATTGGTTTTATTTGATCCATCTACCTAATCACTGATTACCATATGTAGGTGCCATAACAAAAAATAATTCCAGGATAAGCTTGTAACTCCTTGACAGTTCTTTGTGCAGATGAAACAGTAATTTTTGCCTGTTTTTACTACAGCAGAAAAGTAAACTGCAAAGTATATCTAAACCCGAGAGCAAAAATTGCAGCTTATCAGCCCTTTTATAGCTGCATTCGTTTTTTGCTTCTCTTTTTTTTTACCTGGTTATCCTGCCACTAACACACGTCCTGTCCTGGGTGACAGCACTCACTTACTGCACTGTATGGAGAGGTAATGTTGTCACCTTAAGACAGGCTGTTAAGACTGCGGAACCTGTCCACCCCTCCCCTTCTCCATAATATAGGCGGAACTGAACTGTAAAGAGGAAACTTTGCAAGTCTGATAACATCACATGAGATAACTATGCAGCAGAGGCAAATTCTACAGACGTTAGGAGGATTTCTGGCAGAATAAACATTTTTTTTAGTTAGGGTGCAGCTATAATTCTTTGTAACTGAATATTTACCAGAACAAAAAGGAAGTAAATACAAGTTCATTGATAGGGTTTGTTATGTACTTTAAAGTGGTTGTAAACCTCTGAAATGAAAAAAGCACATCCTTCTATAGTAATACAAAGACATAACATTTGGGCATTACTACTCACTAAAGAAAGATATTGGCATAAACTTGGTCAACCCTACTTATTTTATTACTATTGTAAAACGTTTATAGTTAAAGAGATTATTTCACCAATTTAAAAATGCTTGTAAAGGCACAAAGAAATAATTACTTTACATACTGGCTTGCAGCATTTTCTTTCATAAATTATTTGTTATTCACTTCCAATGTGCTTTTGAACATAAACATAATCGGTCCACACTTGCCTGCTACAGCCAGCTTGTTGCCGATAATAACTATTATGAAGAAGATGGCTGACTGCACATTGGCATATTCCAAATGCCTTGGTTTATTGATTAAAAAAATGTCTACCTAGGGAATGATTTCAGACCTTTGGCACATTCCCCATACACTGGCAATTTAGACTATTTCTTTCACCCTTTTCACCACAATTTAACAAACTCTACCTCTCCAACTAAGGATTGCATTCGTTCAGCTATAGAAATTCAAGAGATACCGTCTCACAGTGCTAACACATAAAAAACACTGAAAATAATTACAAAATTAAAATTATCCTAATATTAATATTTAATATTTTCTTGTATAAAATTATAAAATAATCCATGGAGGGTGTTAACTGAAATATTACTATAAATGATATACAATAAATATAATGTTCAGCAACAACAAGTTATGAAAACATGAAATTCAGAATATCCACTTGTTTAGCCAATAAAGAATTTTTAACTTTTGAGTCCATCGAGTTTCCGGCTTATATCTATGTATATATGAATCAGGGGCGGACTGACTATTTGGAAACTCGGGCATTGCCCGAGGGCTCGGGGTTATTAGGGGGCCCCATGAGATGCCCCTGGTACCTATTTCATGGGCTTTTTTGAGTTTGGGCAAGGACACAGGGGCCCCATGATCCCCTATTGCCCGGGGGCCCCATGAGTTGTCAGTCCGCCCCTGATATGAATATATGTATAAGTATAACAACTAACAAAGGCTAATCTAATAAAAAATATAACTCAACCTAAAGAATACCATAGAAAAATATAAAAACCGTAATAGAATATAATTTATCAAATTTAATTTATAAGATACAAAAAGAGAGGCAGATTTTTCTTTAACAAAACTTACTTCATTATTCATAAAAATAAGTTACATTCTAATTTTAATTTAAACCTTTTATATTAAAAATAATAAACTTCTAATTTGCACAGTTATAAAAATCTGTTACATCTACTCTTACGTGGCTTTAGCTTTTCACTACCCTGATTGGATGAAAGAAATCAGCAGAGCTTCACCTCATTTCAGAGCTTCCCCTTGGATATAAAGCAACTGCACTTGCAGTGCAAAGTGTATGTACTTTTAGTAAATCAACCCCAATGTTTATTGCTTACAACTGGCATTGGGGTTGATTTACTAAAGGTAAATATACTATGCACTACTAGTGCAGTGCAATTGCTTTATATCTGAGGGGAAGCTCTGAAATGAGGTGAAACTTTGCTGATTTCTTTCATCCAATCATGCGCAGCCAAAAATGTTGTTTTTTTTATTTTCCTTTTATGTTCCCCTTAGATCTAGAGCAACTGCACTTTTAGTGTACTTGCAGTGCATTTCCAAATATATTTAGAGTGCACTTGCACTGCACAGCCTATTTGCCTTTAGTAAATCAACCCCATTGTCTCACTCCCTTTGTCAATAGGATTACAGTAAGGACATATACTGGCAGCACACTTAACATTCCTCTAGAAATGAGCATGGATTCATATCTAATCGATATCTAATCTGTTATTGCTTGTGTTGCAGGTAATGTCAGGAGGATACTAGACAATTAGGAGATATATTTTACATGATCATTTGTATGACATTAGTAAAAAACCATTCAACAATGCATATCATTTAAGTAATTGCTATGTTCAATAATTATATGAAATTTTGTGAGGGTTTATACTTAAACCACAAAGCACACACATAAACGGGGCTCTGATTATGCCACTGGGAGTGAATGTATAAAGAAAAAAAACCCGACCTGACCTGACCTGAACCCCATAGAGAATCTATGGGGCATTGCCAAGAGAAAGATGAGAGACATGAGACCGAACAATGCAGAAGAGCTGAAGGCCGCTATTGAAGCATCCTGGTCTTCCATAACACCTCAGAAGTGCCACAGGCTGATAGCTTCCATGCCACGCCGCATTGAGGCAGTAATTGCTGCAAAAGGGGCCCAAACCAAGTACTGAGTACATATGCATGCTTATACTTTTCAGAGGTCCGATATTGTTCTATGTACAATCCTTGTTTTATTGATTGCATGTAATATTCTAATTTTCTGAGATTGTGGATTTGGGTTTTCATGAGCTGTAAGCCATAATCATCACAATTATGACAAATCACGGCTTGAACTATCTTGCTTTGCATGTAATGAGTCTATCTCATATATTAGTTTCACCTTTTAAGTTGCATTACTGAAATAAATGAACTTTTGCACAATATTCTAATTTTTCGAGTTTCACCTGTATATTATGTCCACAGTCACTCCTTTATCTAAGGTTTTGTTCACTCCCTCATAAAAAGAAATCAGATTTGTTTGACAATTTCTGTCTTTCATGAATCCATGCTGACTTTTGCTTAAAATATTTTTTTCCAGCAAGAACACATTTATGTGGTCTGTTATTAAACTCTCCAGTATTTTCCCAACTATAGAAGTTAAACAGGTCTATAATTACTTGGTAAAGATTTTGACCCCTTTTTAAATTTAGGCACCACATTGGCCTTGTGCCAGTCCAGTGGTACTATGCCAGGTCATTAAAGAGTCCCTAAAAATTAGAAATAAAGGCTTTGAAATGACAGAGCTCAATTCTTTTAGGACCCGTGAGTGTATGCCATTCGGTGCAGGTGCTTTATTCACCTTTATTCTGTCTAAATATTTCTGGACCATATCATTTTGTACCTAATATATTGGGTTAAAGTGGAACAAAATACCTGCTGTCACACACTGTGAGCAGGCAGGCTTTTAATTTCAGAAGAGATATGGCATAAATACACCAACCTGCCTGCTCTCTGTATTCTCCGGAATGTAAACTGAGCTGAAAATGCGCAGTTCAGCTTACATCAGCTAGTCTGATCTGCACCAAATAATGAAGATGGCCAAAAACACAGAAAAACATACCAGTGACTGCGAGGGATGGGGACCACCCCCCGCCCCCTCCCGCAGCCTCCTTGGAAACATCATATGTCCCAGCAGGCTGCGGACCATTCACAATGCACCATGTGAGTTTGCACTTGCGCAGTAAGGAGTCAGCTGAGGTTTTCCAGGAAGCCACAGCCTGCTCCCATATCCAAAATGGCAAAGCTGGGAACCCGCAGCGGCGCTTGACTCAAGGCACTGCTAAATACCTGATTTCTAACAGTCAGCAGCTGCAGTATTTGTAAAAAAGTTCCTCTTTAAGTTATAGGAAATCATTTTGGCTTTGTATGTCCAAACCTCCTCAGAAGGATATACAGACTTCAGACCTGCTTATATTCAATCTAAGATTAAGTGTACCTTAGATCCTTGGTTGGTTTCATTTTAGGGCCTTCTACACCAAGATTGCTGTGGTGACCCCTAAAGCAGCAGGTAGGAGGCCTGAACAATTCTCTGAAACACCAGAATGTACTTGTCAACTGCATGTATAAATTTACCTGTACAGTATATTTATTGCTACATTAAGATAAAGCTTTTTTTTACCTTTTGTATTGTTGGTGCAACGCTACAAAAATAAATAAATGAACGGAAGAAACAGAAAAATGCGTATAAATGCTAGAAAACAAATGAAACCATTGAAAAAAAATGAATCAGTTAATTTTTTATTACAAAGTTTTTGTAGAAAAAAAAAAAAATTCACCTGTGCGGTCCTTGATATAATGTGCAGATCAAAGGACAGTTTTTTGATCTAGACATAAAATAACTAAATACATTGCAATCATTTTATTGTGAAAATGTATATAACAATAATGTCTGCAAGCACTGT